GTCCAGATGCGTGGATTCGAGCCGAAAATCACAGCCGGATCACCGAAATCCTTCACCGCGGCCCGCAACGGTGTTCTCGCGACCGCGGTGAGCAAATCCTCCCGGTGCCCAGTTTTAGTCGCCGCGGCCCGCGACTTTTCCTTCGCCGCGGCCGCGGCGAACAAAGTGCCGTAGATTCCCACTTCCAGATCGAGTTTGGTCGCGGCCTCGGACTTTGTCGCGGCCGCGGAAGCTTCTTCGCTGCGGCCCGCGAGATGCTCCGCGGCCCGCGAAGGCCGCGACTTACAGATTTTTTAAGTCAGATTTTGGGATCGTTTTTCATTATGTTCTATGTTAGGTTTTGTTCTTTTTCGTACGAAAAAAGTTCCAGAACCTATATTTTTCACTTTTTTGTCTTGGGGATCAATCTTGAGGGTGAAAACTTAGAGATTTGACTCTTGGATTTGGTTTTTCTATTGTTCTCGACATTGGATTCGTTAATCGTAAGCTTTACTTTCGTTTTCCTTTCAATTGAGATGGCTTTGATTATTGAATATGTTGATGTTGAATGCATGATGAGTAGCTAAATTCATTAGCTAGGGGTAGGGGATTATCGTTCCGGTTCGATTTCGTTTAAATGCTTGGTAATTGCTCATCTTTCCGAGTTGTGCTTAACCTAGGGTTTAGATGCTTGATCTCCAACTTAATCTAATTAATCAATTTAGAAACCGAAAGGGGATAAATTGTTCGATCTAGGCTCGTTAAGAATAGGCTTGTTCGGTAGCGTATTGTCTATGTGCTAATTGATTCGTTAATGATTTGTTCATGTTTATTCTCTTGTTTCGTGAGATATTGAGAATGAATCTCTGGATGAGTTAGTTTATTGAGTCCTTAGCCGAGTAATTCATTGCTTGCTAATTGCATTGAGAACCGGAAGCGAAATCCCCGATACCCTAGCGCTTTTATCATAATTGTTCTTCGTCCTTGCTTACTACTTTCTCTGCTTTATTTAATTATTTGCAGTAGTATATAGCTAAAAACCCATCCAACTATTTGGTTTAGAATGTTTAGGAATTTGATTTCTTTTAATTGTGTTGAGTAAACGTGCTTAATAATCTGGCTAACCTTCCTTGCGATACGACCCGGTGTCGAATCTTTCGATTCTGCTCCGGTAAAAATACTTACAACATTGACCTTCCACCAGCCCGGCTCCGGAGGTCGCCATTTGATGAGTTGCCACTCCCGCACAAGACCTGTTCCTCCTAGTCGCCTATTAGAAGAAATAGAAGCTTCAATGCCCATCACAACCTTCCTTATCTCTTTTACCGTCACATCCACACTGCAAATCTTCCTTTGAAAAATTTTCAAATTACGGACATGCCAAATTTTCCAAGTTGCCACCCCAAACCAGCAAGCCCAGTTACCCAAACCATTAAGAAGATTTGTGAGTAGCCACTGATTGAAACTAAACAAATAAAATTCAGAGATTTTGTTACCTGGCACCAATCGATCCCAAACCCTCCGTGCATGAGGGCAGTCGCGTAGGACATGAATTATCGTCTCCGGATCTGAGCCGCAAAGTGCACAAACATCATAGTTTGCAAGGCGTCGACGCATTCTTTCTGAGTTAGTGAGCAATCGCTCCCTCGCCGCAAGCCACAAAAAGTGTCTGATTCTTGGCGGTCCAACCCACCGCCAAATAAGCTTCCAGTTAGGGTTTTAAGGTTGTTGTAATGGGTAATTTAAAGGCTCATATGCTGTCGATGTGCTGAACTTACCAGTGGCACAAAAACCCCAAAATATCATATTCGGTTCATCGATGGAGAGTGGAGGCAAAATGGATGCAATCCTCAGAATCATTGAGTTAGGCAACAAATGCGAGAATAATTCTCATCTCCACTGCCCACTGATAGTAACAAACCGATCCACTGTCCAAAAAAGGTGATCCTCAGGAACCGGCCCAGTAGCCACGTCTATTAAGGCTTGTGTGCCGGAAGTCCAGTTACCTGTCCAGAAGTGTAAAGTTTTACCATTGCCCAGGCTCATGTTGATTGATTAATAGAATTTGGGCGAGACGATATACGCATAGGGGAGCCGCCACACATATAGCCACACAGAGGAAAAGAACAGAGACGCACGGACATAGACGAGAGAACCCGATCAAACGCGGAGGGAGGCCGCACCCGTACACGAGGGAGATAATTAATCTCTCTCTTTTATCTAGTATTTATTTTATATATTATGTTAGACTAGTATTTCTAGTTCCAGGAAGTTGAACTCTACGAATTGACGATGTTTGATTGATTTATATGGTTGATAATTTCAATATCTTTTTGGAATTGTTCGTTTTATTTTGAATAATTAGCCATGATGTGTTGAGTCTTATGTAGATTGATCACCTAGATTAGGCTTTTTATATCTACAGTTGAGTTAGACCTTCAATCCGTAATTGTTGTTGTGTTTAATTCATAAGAGGCTATCGGAAGACGGTTACTACCGGGGATAACACAACATATTTAAGTGAACGAGCGCGTCACTACTTAGTCTAGCCTATTTTTCTAATTCGTAAAGCGGCTAATTGTATTAAATCTTGAAAACGTTTTTCTGGACTGTACAAGAAGTCAGGTCTAATCGTATAACGTCTCGCAGTTACATTAAAAATAAAGAAAACTTCGGGTAACAGACCGTGTCGTTGCTTAGGGCTAGTAATTCCATAAGATAGCGAGATTTGATACAAAAATTGATTACACGAGTCAGTCAAGGGTGTAGACGGAACCGTGAACTAGAAATTTCTCTTAATTTATTTATTTTTATTTTTATTTTATTTATTTAGATTTTATTTATTCTTTTTAGTTTAGTTATTAAATCACAACCCCCCTCTTTTATTGCTTTTTATATATTCAATTAATACGAAAATTCACAATTTGATTCACACTCCCTGTGGGTTTGACCCTTGCTCGCTACTACTACTAGTTGGTAGAAGTCGATTAAGGAAAAATATAAATTTTAATTTTGACGCGTTGCGACGCTCGGTCAGAGTGCTAAATCTATTTGTAAATTTAGACCTTTATTCAGAAAGATTAAATGGATTGCCTGATATTTATAGAAATAATGCGTATGCTATACGACTCCAAAAACAGAGAGTCTGTGCTACAAATGGACTGATACACATGTGATACAATTCTGAATTTAAATATAGTGGGTCAGAATCTGCACTTGAAGTGCATTTATTGCCGCCGAAAGATAATGTGATATGTTTGTGATAAATGGGTCACAATGATTTATTGTGATGTTTACTGATATAAATGATGATCGTTTGCATGATTAACTGATTCTTTATAATATGAGATGCTTTGTTCTCGATTGGTGAAATTATTACTAGCTAAATATTTGTGAATCGATATTTGATCAAACTGAGTATAAAAGGGATACGATATGTATGAGCCAACTACCCCTCCATGTGTGCTACTAGATATTATGGATCGACTAGATAGCCACATGTGTGATTCGTAACCTAAAGTTACGATTTGATTTGATCAAATAATGGATATATGACACGTAACCTGCAAAGAATGTGTATATGACACGTAACCTAAAGTTACGAGATGGTTTGATCAAAAGAATGACACAAGATGATCATGAAAGAATGAAAAATAAGTGTCATATGAAGGTGATGAAACTAGTAATATAGTCAGCTAATATGATGAACTATTGAAAGAAAAATGTGCACATTACAAGTGAATGAGTTCAAAGTCCTCCTATTATATGGTGAAATTGAGAACGAAATGGAGACTGTATGAACTCCCCTCAAGAAATTTCATACTAAAGATACAGATCAGGGATCTGTTGAGATGAGGGGGAGAATCAATTATTGAAATTTGGTAATTATATATGCATCACACTGAAAGTGTGCAAATCATAAACTGAATGATACTGATGGTGGTGAAATATATGAAATTATATGATGGTGGAATAATACGCTTGAAACATCAATGTTGTGCAAATTGAAATTCAACACATTGGTGATGAAATGAGGCATATATATACTATTAATGAAATCAATTGATAATGAGATATCCCAATATATTACGGGGAATAATAGAAATGAATAGGTTTTCGATACAAACAAATGAATAGCGCTATATAAATGATATTGATGAGAATGAAATCAGCTGAAATGAGAATATTAA